CTTTCCCTTCTTGTTCCCCTTCTTCCCCTTCTTCCTTATTTTCCCCCTCATCTTCCCCTTCTTCATCCTCCCCCTCTCCTTCCTCACTCTTATTCTGTTCCTCTTCCTCCTCCTTGTCTATACACTCATCTTTCTTATATTTGCTGTCCTCTTCTCTTGTCTTCTCCTCATTGTCATAATCTTTTTCCTCACTCTCTAGTTCTTTTTCCTCTTCACTCTCCCTGTCTGTGCCATCTCCTCTTTGGTGATTCTCAAGATCCTCTTCCTCTCTCTCATTCTCATCTTCTGCTTCAAACAATGATTTGTCTTTTCCATCAATTTCTTCCTCTTCATCTCCATCTGCTGCTCCTAAATAATCTTCATCTTCACCTTTTCTAACCTCATTTTCATCCTCCTCTTCTCTAGATTCTTCTTCACTGTTTTCAACTTTCTCAGAGTGTTTCTTTTTTTTACTCTCACCATCCTTTATTCTAATGTCACTTTCTCCACTCTCCTGCTCTTGACCAAATTCTTCTTCATTTTTACCTTCTTCCCATTTTGCCTCAGTATCTCTTCCTTCTGGATATAAATCATCCACATTTTCCACTGCTTCTATTTCTTTTTGTGTTCCTGTGTCTTCATAAGTAGCTTTGTGTATTTTTTGTCTCTGAAGTACATATTCTGTAAGATCATTTCTATTTTCATCACTAGAAGATGATGACACACCTATTGCTATTTCTTTCGTGAAATTCTGCTTTTTCTTAAATACTCTCTGTTCTTCATTACTTTCTTTCTCTCTGACATAGATTTTTCCAAACTTGTCAGATTTCTCAGTTTCATCCTTTGCTTTGCCTTCAAGATCCACCTCATTTTTACTTTGTTTTTTAATTGTTTTGTTTTTTTGTGTATCTAATGAACGAAATACTGGTTTATTACTGTCTGCAGAAAGAGGCACATCTTTTTTATGGGCTTGCTTAGACTTAGTATTCGCCTTTGATTTTTTAGTCTCATCACTGGAAACATAAGATATGTCTTGTTTAACAGACTTAGACCTTTCTGAATATTCTTTCTTCCTTTTTGCTAATATGCGTTCTTTAATAGTTTGCTGAACATCATGCTTCAGTTTCCCAACACTGTGTGCGTGTTCAAGTTTACCTTTTATTTTCTTTTTATCAACGTTAGTTTTTCCTATAAAGGCATGAAAACCACTTTCTAAATCTGAATAATTTCCAAGTGACACTGAAAACAAAGGCTGCTTTTGCAAAGAATCATCAGTTGACTTTGAAACTTCCTGCATGAAATTAAGATCAGCCTGTATCAACCCACCCTTACCATCATTTTTCAGATTCACATTTTTATTGCTCTTCTAGTCCACATGAGAAGCAGAAAATTAAAAAGAAAGAAGGAAAGCATTAAGAACAAATTAAAGGAGAGCAAACAGAAAAAAACTATAGAGACATATGAATAAAAAAGGAAATGATTTGTTTGATGGGACTACAAATGGGAATGAAACATGGACTATTCCAAATAAAACTCATTTATAAATATAAAGCAACTGCATTTGAAGAATAAGAATTTTTTAATAAAAAATAAGCTGCTAATGAAGTATCCTCAGTATTAAAACGCATAATTGCTTTAAGATTACTACAATATGGTAATAAAGGAATCATTTAATTTTATAATGGTTAACATTACTTCTGTTCAGTAAAATAACTGTTTTGAATTTACACCTGTGTTTTATAAACAAAAACTTGCCTTCTCTTGTGCCCTGAGTTTTAATTCAGGTAGTCTAATATCAACACAGGAATATCAGATCTTCTAGCATTAACAAAGAATTACAAAATGTACAGTTTAAATTACAGAGTACTGCACCATCAGTTGCAGAAGCATCAAACTATTTAATCTCAAACTGCACTGGGCAGACTGTAGATCTCAAACCCCACTGTCAGCATGTAGACATTTGCTCTCTCAGGAAAAACTCTCCTGAGAGTGATTTAACCTTGTTTGTTCCCAGGTTATTTTTCTCCTGGAGCAGACATTTTTACTCTGGGAGAAAAACCCTGAATATCTTTACACTTGTGGTTTCTCCTGGGAGAGCAGTGACTCTCCCAGGAGAAACTGAAGATCAGTATGAGGCCTGTGACTGCACAGAGTCCCACTGACTTTAATGGGCTCTTTGCAGGGAGATGGTGCAAGGTTCTATTCAGCTGAGTAATTTGAAGGCTGTGAGGGAAGAAGTTAAAGGTAAGAATGAGTCTATGAAAAACTGCTGAGTTTACTTTTTTAGCACTTGCAGCAAAAAAGGTATTGCCATCCTGGCCAGGTACAAACATTCAAAAAGCCCAGTGCAGAATCGATCTAATTTATGCAGCTTTCTGTAAGTGGCATAACTTAAATTGATAGTGAACAGAACACATATTTGTTCTTTGGTTGGGAGGTAAAATCTTAGACTGATTTCTGCCATTTTTAAACTGGTCTATATGTGCCAGACTTTTGTTCTGTTATGGGTATAGACCGTTTTTTATGCCAAATTTCTGTTACAGGTATAGACTGGTTTCCAATCACTTATACTAGTAAAAGTGGAATGTCTGTACTTGGCCCCTATCAAATTGGTTAAAGCCTTTCTAAAAAACAATGTTATGTTACAGGTACCTTTTGTTTTTGAACTGGTGATAATTTTAAGGACTGGTCACTTGGATTCAATCTCATCACGTGTGTCTGAAAAGAATGAAGATATCACTTAAAATGGAATACAATTAATATGTGTGAAATCAATAATACTGATAATTTAATTACACGCTTTCATAAAGCCTGTCATCAGAGGATCTCAAACTGTCTTCCAAACAATCTGTCACAAAATTAAACTGTAATTATAATGGATTTGAAAACCTGTATTTTATCATTCAATGAAGTAGATTAAATCCTTCTGTACATCATCTAGAAAAACCTACAGTTCAACATTTAAGAAATACAACCTACAAGGTCAGGCTGAAAGAACTAGAATTATTCATGAGTGGGGATTTGTTCAATCTTAAAATACCTGAAGGGAGATTATACAGAGGACGGAGATAGACTGTTCTCTGTGCCTGCAAGGGACAGGGCAAGGAGTAATGGTCTTAAATTGCATCAAGGAAAATTTAGGTTGGGTCATAGGAAGAACATCACTCTGAGGGTGGTTAAACATTGGACCAGGCTGTCCAGAGAGGTTGTAGAATCTCCATCCTTCCCAGGCCTCTTATCATTCTTACTGCTGTCTACTAGACTCTTCCTAACTTTTCCACATCATTCGTGAAGTGAGGGGCCCAAAACTAGACACAGTACTCCAGGTGAGACTTCCCCAATGCTGAACAGAGAAGGAGATCACTCCCCTTGATTTGCAAGTCACACTCTTATTAATACAGCCCCATATATTCTTGACCTTTTTTTTTTTTTTTTTTGCAACAAGCACACTTTTAACCCTCGGTCCTTTCTGCAGTACTGTAACTCATCAAGTCCTTCCTCAGTCTGTGCTAAATGCAGGACTGCACTTCTTATTGTTGAATTTCATCTGACTGATTTTGTACCATTTATCCAGGTTGTTAAGGTGATTCTGAATTCTAGCCCTACCCTCAGCAACTCTACCCAGTTTGTTGCTGTCTGCAAATCTGCTAAGTGTACAATCAATGTCCTCCTTTAAATCATTAATGAAGATATTAGACAATCCCAGACCAAGGACTGACTTGGGGAACCCCACTCAATACCTCTCTTAACTAGACATTGCATTACTGATGACTGCTCATTGAACACAATGACCCAAACACTTGTGTATTCACCTTACAGAACATTAGTCTAGTCTGCAGTTCCTTAGCTTACTAATGAAATTGTCAAATGCTTTGTTAAAGTCCATTTATATCATGTTTCCTACTCTCCCCTTATCCACACACCCTATCAGCTTATCATAGTAGGAAATCAAGAGGGTTAGGAATGTCTTGCTTTTAATGAATCTATGCTGGTTGTTTCTGATCACCTTGTTTTCTTCCAGGTGCTTAGAAACAGACTCCTTGATGATCTTTTCCATAATCTTGTTTGGTATTGAGGTCAGACTTACTGGTCTGCCCTAAATCTGTAGTCTATTAATTGAACTACCAGTAGTTGGTTAAAATAAAGTTATAACTTAAGCTTGACTTAATATTAAAGGAACAAGTGCTAGGTATCCATCTTGTATGAAATTACAAAAATTCTGTTCAGAAAGGAAAAAAAAGCAAACCAGTGTAGTCAATCAACACAAACAGGTACTAGGCCACAAAAGGCTAAAGGTCTGTGCAAGTAGAACAAGAGCTCTTAAAACCTGGAAACCAACCCACTTTATAGCATGCATTTCATAAAAAATATTACTGCTATCCTGTTATCTCCTAAAATAACAACTGTTAAGCCACACACAACTTCAGTAGCAGATATCTTACCATATTTAGTATATCAGTTGTGTTTCCAAGGCTTCTTTCATTCTCTGAATCTTCCTCTGGGGAACTCCTGTCAGATTTTTGGTTTTCTTGATTCTCATCTTAAATAAAACAAGAAAATTAAAAAATAAGTAAACAGGTACTACAGAAGCAATGGAATACAGTCAGACCCCAAGTTACGTGGGGGATACATTTCTGAAAAACACTGTGTAAGTTGAAACCGTGTAACTTGAGGCATTAAGTTAATGGAAAACAGGGGGATAGGGACCTGGGACCAAGACTTGATAACATTATTTCATAATAAAAGGATATTTAAACACAAAATAATGTAATTAATAGCCTTATTAAAACCTTTACATGCTCATACAGAGACAAAGTTTGAGCCCTAATTGCCGCGCTGTCAACAACTGCTCCTTTTCTACTGGTCATTTCATTGATCCAAAGATTAAGGAGTTTCTCAACCTTATCTAAATGAGGAATTCTAGTCACCAATGACACTCTTGAACTCACAAGGGTTGTTGTTTTCACACAGTCTCTAAATTTTTGCTCTCTTTTTTTAATGGTAAGCACAGTCGATTCACTTAAACTGTATTGGCGAGCAATCGACGCAGCACTATTGCCTTACCTTAATTTATCAAGGATTTTTATTTGCTGGGCCAGGGTGATAGACTTACATGCTCTTTTGACCACAACATCAAAGGCTTTCTTTGACACCATTTTCACAAATATTCAGGGGTTAACATAACCAAAAATGATGGACAATCTTGGAGGAAACGACAAGTGATGCTAACGCTATGTAAGCAGACTGTAACTAACCACTGCTCTACTGCAAACAGTGTAAACGTGAACCAGGGCATCATGTAAGTTGAAACATGGTCATGTTATATAAAGCATGTATATGTGAATCAGTGTAACTTGAAACCGCGTAACTGGAGGTCCAACTGTATAACAAGTGAAAACCCCATCCCTTCTGACATAGAAGTATTATTAGCCTCTTTTTAGAACTGCAGGATCTGAGATATCATATCCTGCAACCACAAATGGTACTCTTGCAGTTCTTACTTTGTATTATTTATGTTTAAACTAGATAGAGTATGATGCCTAATCTCAATTCACTAGTGGTCTCAACCCATTTCTGCAAATTTTCAAAACAAGATCACTTGAGAAATGGTTCTTTTTAGATGATCTCTCTAATGATATTGTACTTTTCAATTTCCAAGACAATAAGAATAAGCTGTGGTTAAGCTATAGAATTAAAAGCTAGACAGCCCAGGTTCTCTTCCTACATCAGTCATGGACTTTCCTTCTTGGACAAGTCACTTAGGGCTAAATCTTTCAAGAGCTTAAGTATTTAAAGGATTTCTCCTTCAAGTGCTTATGAAGCATTTATGTAGCCGTATAGCAGCAATTTTCTGGAACTTACCCACAGTTTGGATTCTATTTCTACCAATGGTGCAGTAGGATTGTCCTGCACCCACGTAGGCCAGAAATATAACAGAAGAGGAGGAAGACCCTTCCCACCTTTTAGCCTAACAGACAAGGAGTGAGAGATCCATGTCCAGCCCCACCTCACTCAGAGAGGGAGTTTCCAGCAAATCACTCTAACCAGCAGGCCATATGCTAGGCATTACCCAGAGTCCTTGCCAGGCCTCCTCCTGAAGCTGTTCAGAAAGGGAAAAGAAGCGGTTTAGCTTCTAATCTGGATGCCTGACCCCAACAGTACAGAAACTATCCCACTGTTGTTACAGGGGTGTAGGTTGTAGCTGTGTTGGTCTAAGCACATAGGCAGACAAGGTTCTGTGGGTGAATCTAATATATTTTATTACCAGGATGGCATCCAAGCCTGCCTTACATATCTACAAGAGCAAGATTACAACTCAGAGTACAGACCCAAAGATATTACTGACCTTATACACTTCATCCGCACACACAACAATTTCATTTTTAATAACCAACACTTCCTACAGACCATGGGCACAGCTATGGGCACCAAAATGGCCCCACAGTATGCCAATCTTTTTATTAGCCACCTGGAAGAAGAATTCCTCAAGGACTGCACCATCAAACCCTTGCTATACTTAAGATATATCGATGACATCTTCATCATTTGGACTGAAAACATGCAATCTCTGATTGAGTTCCATCAGAAATTCAACAGCCACCATCTCTCCATCCAACTATCTGTTGAATATACTCCAGCACCATCATCTCCTTTTTAGACATGATGATCAATATCCATAATGGCAAAATACAGACCTCATTATACAAGAAACTCACAGACCAACATACATATCTGCACAGAACCAGCAATCACCTTAAATACACCAAAAAAGTTGTGATATACAGCCAAGCCCTCAGATACCACTGAATTTGCACTGAGGAGAACACCTGGAATTGACACCTCACCAATCTGAAAAAGGCTTTCACCCAACAAGGATACTCCTCCAAAGAGATAGACATCACGTTTGAAAGAACCACCCAGATACCATGTGAAAAACTGCTGCAATAAAGAAGAAAACCCTGCACAAATCGCGCACCGCTGGTTATGACATATCATCCCTCCCTTGAACCCATACAGAAAATCCTCAAACAATTGCAACCCATACTAGAAAGAGACCCTATTCTTAAAGTGATCTTCCCAGAGATACCCATCCTAGCCTTCAAAAAAGCACCAAACCTCGCTAACCTCATCACCAGAAGAAAACTTCCTCAGGCCCAGAACACACCGAACGGATCCAGACCATGCCATGACAAGAAATGCAAAACTTGCCAACACATCTCCACCACCCCCACTATTACTACACCCCACAACAGAACCATCAGAATTCCCGGATCTTACAGCTGCACCTCTAGAAATGTAATATATCTCATCCAATGCACCAAATGCCCTGATGGAAAATATGTAGGAAAAACCAAACAACAACTGTGCACCAGAATGAATGCACACCAGAAATCTATCAAAGACAAGAATACGCAATTACCTGTGGGGGCACATTTCTCACAAGAACGCCACTCTCTCTCCAATCTGTCAGTCCTGAGCCTCAAAGGAAACGTATAAAACACTTCTCAGAGACAAGCCTATGAAATTCACTTCATCAACCTCCTGGATACTAAAAATCATGGCCTTATGGACATTGGATTTATGACACATTATAACCTGCCTGATATCTGATTCCCCAGGTACCTCTCTACTATTTAACTGCTACATTCATCCCCCTTCTCCCCCTGACCCAGTCTCTCTCTCACCTACTGACTCCTCAATTTACATATTCACTGAATGCCTGTCTTGCATGCATACCAGCCCAGCCCCTGGCTTCTTTATTTTTCATTCCATCTAGGAAGAGCGCACACCAACTGCAGAAACTTCCTCAGCCTAACGAAGGGTTTTTAAACCCGAAAGCTTGCTTACAATTTTTTTTTCCAACTATTTAAGTTGGTCTAATAAAAGATATCAGATTCATCCAAAGAACCTTGTCTGCCACTGTTGTTTATCCATTTTATCCAGTAAATACTACATGCAATGTGCAGAGGGTCGAGACCTAGGTTTAGTGCTATGTATCATTTGCTCAAGTGCTCAGTTCCTGGATGTAAGCAGTTCCTTCACACAACCCTGAACAGTGTATGTGTATATATATATATAATATAATATATATAATGGTCGGGAAGACAACAGCAGAAAGCATACATTTCACCTGTTTTACAGCCCACATTAGATCCAAGGGCTTTATTTATATTAGCTCCTTCTGCACCAGGATGTTTTTCTGCAGATAAACGTGGTGGGACAGTGTTGCTGGTGATATGTAAAGAAGATTTCAGCAAGCCTTTTCCCAAGGGAGGTAGTGTTCGTACCATTCGACCAAATTGTTCTGGTGACTTTTCCTAAAAAAAAAAAAAAAAAAAAAAAAAAAAAGAACATTTAGAGAAAATTTGAGGCTAGTAACAGAAGGTTAAAATGCAAATACCTTCTCAAATTTAATTATGGTATTAGCTCTACTAAATGCTGGTAGTATAACTAGGGGTGGGCAAGAAAGGAACCCAGCCCAGATACCAAATTAGGAAGAATGCTGGAAGAACCCTTCACAGAGTCTATACCCCAGAACCCATGCTGGGAACTTCATACATCATAATGATGCAAATCAGGACATATTTTTTTTTCCCTTCATCACTCTTGATCAGAGGACATATTTCCTTTCCTTAGCCTTGAAATTCAAACATTTATTTCAGCAAAGAATATTTATTTGTTGAACATATAATTTTAACTGAAAAAGTAACTCGTATTCTTGCAAAAAAATATGCAAACTCTACATGATGAAAAATATTTAGTTCTGAAATTACCCTCTCTCTCCGTCGCATTCGTGCTGACAATGTTCGCTGTAAGGTGTCTGATATTAATGAATCTCCACCCAGTTTGGAAATAGTAGCAGTCAAATAGTTTTCATGTAAATCTCCTAAGAGTATTTCTTCAGACCCTTTCGGCCTTGGTGAGGCAAAAACTAGCATGTGACAGCCACCACAAGCAACCTACGGTATCAACACAAGGATCTCATTATCTCACATTCACCATCGTGGATGCAAAGGGTAGAAAAAGGGTTCAAAACTGAAAATGTTTTTCTTCGTATATAGTGACAGTATAACCATAAGCTAAAGTATACCACTATAATTAATGGCGTTTAAAATATATATTGATCTAAATTCATTCCTATTTTAAATACAGAATGCAGTAAAATACAGAGTAAAGTTAGCAAACTGTCTCTCCAGAAGTAAACAAAATTTGCTGCACTAATTTTCAAAGGAGATTTAGCAAATCATTTTGATAAAAGCCAATATGGTACATACAGCTTTGCCAACTGTAGCAATTTTGTCAGGGGTCTCACACTGTTTGATGTTTTAGTTCAAGACTTAACCAGATAACTTATCGCAGAAGTATCTGAGCTTTTATTCAAAAAAAGAAGTTTCTGGCTATTGCAATTACAGACAAGACTATCCCAAAAGTACTGTAACAGCTCAAAAAATGAGAAGGGAAGGAATACAAAAACTCAAAATATTAGTTCTTTCTTAAATTTTATGAGATTCTGAAGGCCTGACTCATAATATTTTAATAGTTGCTGCTGGCATTATTGTAACATTTCAGCAAATAAATAAATATAAACATAGCCTAAGAGAAAACAATAGTACCCCTCTTTTCTCATCACATCTGAATTAAAAAAATAAACCCATTTTCATTTTATTAATATGTTGGTAAATGTATTGTTTAGATTCTCTTTAACCATTTCTAACTCAGACAGTGCAGTACTGAGTTAGTGCATACAAATATAAAAGCTGTCTTGTCTATTTTTATAGTCCAAACTAACCATGATGCAAAAATGAAGCATTGGCATGATGAATGCTGAAAAGTTTTTTTTTAATTACATTCTTACAGTGTTAGTAATCTATAGCAATATTAGGTAAATATTGAAGAAAATGTATTTTTAAATACAATCTTGAACTATCAGGTTTCTCTAAATAAAATATCTTGTTTAAATTACAGACAGTTGAATGCTTGAGAAGCAAAAACAAAACAAAGTTTTACCAAAAGGACGGAAAACCTCAAGAAATTAGAACATAAGGTAGGTATGAATTGATTAGTAAAATTCTCTTCTCCAAGTCCTAACTTGCCATGTCGTCCATCTCCAAAGCTAAACATAAGGCCATTGTCTGTATGGAGAAAGAAGAATGTATTCATACAGAAGATGCATTAAAAGCACAGGTGAAAACTAATACAAACAGAAGGAATAAGATTTGAAAGTAAGGAGCAATTCATTTCCAAAAGTAATATCTGAATATTTTATTTTTTAGATTTTCAAACTGATGAATATGGTCTGAAAATAAATATATTTTCAGAAAAAGTACTGTCTGGGATTAAGTTAGTCTAGACAACTGATAAACCAATAAAATTAAGGTACAGCAAATCTAAGACTGATACATAGGACTGCTAAGTAGAAAGGCATCATGAGACTACAATTGCTTTACAAAGCAGTATAGTCTACAAGACTGAATATAGGCTAAGAATCTAAAAACCCTGTATTTCAATCTCTCTCTTCCACTAAGGCTAGTATGATCTGAGTCTTAGCCTTCAGTTAAACTTTAACTTAACCTTTAGTACTATTAAATGTGGATATATCTTCTTCATTGTACTTAATTTATATTGAAATTCCAGATTGTAAATTAAAATCCACTATCAGTTTAGTATTTTTAGCATACATACCTGTTATTACAGCTGTGTGATTTTCCCCACATGCAATGTTATTTATTTTGTGCCTCCTCAGAAAGTCTACAGTCTTTGGTACTGGGGTTTCAAAAATAAATGTCCCGTGTCCGAGCTGTCCATATTGTCCAAGACCAAACGTATATACATCTGTCTCTGAAAATGTACATGAAAATGTAAGAGCACACATGTCCTAGTTATAACCTGTCCATTATTACCAAAACAAAATCACACCAACTTCATGAAAACAGTATGTTTTATCAGAAGAGGTGCACCAATACATTAGTCCATATCGTATCACCACCGATAAATGGAAAATTGACATTATCGGCAATCAGCTTTTTTTGGCTGATGTGGCTGATAATGTTACCGATAATGTCACCAGTAAATGCTGCCTGCATGTGCGCAGCTGCAGCATGCACACAGCCAGCCTGGCAGCTTGGAGAGCCCTTCCCTAGCCCAAGTCCCACTCCCTCCCTCACCACAGGGGCCTCGATCTGCCCCTCCATGCCCCATCCCCCCCAACAGACTTACCAACCAGACGCTGCTTTCCAAGCTGCCAGGCTGCATATCAGCAATCAGATCAGTATCAGCCAATATAGCTCATTATTAATCAGCCATTGGTATCAGTCCAAAAAATCTTTATCAGTGCACCCCTATTTATCAGGGATTAGCAGCCTTGTGAGAGAATGGTGTTCTACTTCACTAGCCAGAGCACAGCACCACTGAACATGTTCACTAGCCAGTACGGCCATTCAGAGCTGAATTGCTGGCTGTATATAAGTGCCAGAATTGGTACTTATACAGCTTAAATTATACTTATATAGTTTAAACAGCCGTTTAGGTGTGAAACAGTATTCTGCCCTTACTGTGTCCATCGTTGGGGGAGTTATAGCCCCATTATGTGAAAGGCAGTACTTAAAAGCTGGGCATCTTGAAAATGTCATGCTGGAAAGAAGAAGGGAACTGGAGGGCCTCATCTTTTCTGAGAAATGGAAGGATCTTCCTATGACCAAGATCCAAACAAAAATCTTTCTTCATTTCCCTCCATCAGTCAGGAAAGGAGAAATAATTGCAAGCCAGTCACTTGAAAGGAACTATGGAACAGAAGGTACTCTCTGCCTTTAGTACATGCTTGACATGAGGGTGCTGCTAAGGCAATACATTTCTGTGCTCAAGTACATGTGCACCCACTCCCTGCTGCACCACACTGCACAGGTGCCCCATTGCCATGGGCTCATGCAGTCCCATGGACTACAACATGCCACCCTGCCCCTGGACAAGGAGCAACAGAAGCCAGAAGAAGAGAGAAGGAGAACCCAGAGACCACAGTTCAAGTGCAGTTGGAGTGATTGTGGGGATCAAAGTCTGGGTGGGAGCCTGTAGGTCTGCAACTTAACCCCTTGCAGACTGCATAAGGCCCACCAGCCAGCAGTTGGTCAGCCCTGGGGTAGATCATCTATTACTGCCCCAACACGGTAACATAACATGGAATTTCACATCAGCAAAAAATACAGGATCAAGTCTTGTAACACTAAAAGCTAAAAAAAAAAAATTCTACTTAGATCTTTTGCCTTCCCCAACCCAAAAATTATTAAAATATTTTCAGGAGTCATATCAAGAAACCATGAATGTGCATCACAAAAAAGTTTTTCACCTTTTAATTTAAACATGCAAGCATTTTGTAAAGTTCTTTCTACTAAATGTAACTCTTAAGCTCCCTCTGCTGGAAGATTTGGTGCTAGAAAACAAAATTCAGAAGAAATTTCTGAGCAGTAAAAAAAAAAGAATAAAATAAATTAAACCTTCTTGTAATTAGTTTTTTTTTATTAAGTGGAGAGATTTGAGGTGGATTCTCTTTGGGCATCTATGTGGTGCTTTTGGCATGTGTGCACAGATAGGAATTCAACTTCACCTGAACCTGTAAGCTCAAGCACAGAGGCTGAGCATACACAATAGGTTGCATACTGAGTCTGTACCCAGACACATGTGTGCAAACCTGAGTAGGCAAAATATGGCTTGCTGAGGGATTTTGTCCAGCCCATGGTAGGTCCCTCAGTTCTGCAGGCTGAGGTGTGGTGGGCAGCCTGGGATGTGGTACATGGAGCTATTCCTGCCATACCCGGGCACACGGCAGGGCTGGAGCAGTGTCGTAGCCAGACTTCACTTCCCAGCAGCCCCAGTCACAGGCGCCTTCCGGCATCACCAGACCAGGCTTCACTGCCCAGCCACCCAGGCTTGTCCACCCTGCACCCACCACCGGGCCAGGACCTGCATGGACAAGGTGCTCAGCCAGGGCTGAGGGTGGGTGGGCAGTGGCATCTGGGAGCAAGGCAGGTGGCTGGGACCAGGGAGACCCCGGGATCTTGGGGCAGTGACACCACGGGGTCGGGTTGGGGTAGAGCCTGTGACCGGCGCGGGTTCCACAGGCAGGGGTATACAGGAAGTAGACCACAGCTGTGCCCCAGGCCTAGGCCTCACACTGTCACCACCCCAAGATGTCAGACATGGCTCCAGATGCAGCTCCCCGCCCACCCGCAGCCCCATCCTGTCCATGGAGTCCCCGAGATTGCAGGGCAGTGACAGTGCTAGTCAACCAACTTCTAGGGATGGAGATTCCACATTTCTTTAAGCGGCCTGTTCCAATGTTTCATCCTCATGTTTAGAAAGTTCCTTCTGATTTCTAACATACCTTTCCTCTGCTGAAACTTGAGGTCATTGCTCCTGGTCCTGCCACAGACTAATAGAATCATAGAGAAAGTAGGGCTGGAAGGGACCTCCAGTGGTCATCTAGTCCAACTCTATTCCTGAGGCAGGATCATCCCTATCCAAAACATCCCAAACTATACTATATAAACTCTACACAAGACTACCATCAACCCTTACACAGCATAGATCTAACATCCTAACCTGCCACAGGTAAAGCAGAGGAACTACAGCAGCCATGCTTCTATGACATGTTGTCAATATATACTTAAAAGACCCTGAGTAGAGGGCCATGCTCCCCACTACAGAGGAAGGGAACCCCCACCCCCAACCCCGTCCATACCAATCTGACCATGGGGTAAAATTCTTTCCTGACCCCAAATATGAAGTTCATTCAGCCCTACTTCAAAAGGATGGGAGAAAATAGAGTCTTTCTCTAGATCTGACAAAGTATGATGTAGGATGTTACATCCTACAAAAGTTTGTGTCTCTGAATCAGTTAATGTCTAAAGTGCCACCCTGGGCTACCTTCTCCCTGCCTTCATATTAACACAGCTAACCAGCCAAAGAGATGTAACTATCTTTCATATTTTTGATTGGCTATGCCAATGGCTGAAGGAACTGAGGATTATAGGTAGATGCAGGATGGTTGTGGTGGGGGGCGGGGCATACTCCATAAATCCTCATAGGTGACACCATGACATCTCTGCAGTCTCCAACTGGCATTTAAACTTCTAGACAAAGCCATAATTGCCTAGAAAGCACAACAGGAAAAAATGGATGCTCTACCAGCTCTCACCAGTTTTATTCCTCTTGAAAGCACTGATTTTTTGTCTGCAGAATATTAAATATTACAATAATATGCTTATACTAAAAATGACTGCAAAATCAATTACTTAGACAAACTTATTTTTACCACAGGCAGCAAAAATTACCTTCAGAGGTTTCAGTATGAATATTGTACTGACTTAGAGAAGAAGTGGTTTGATGAAGCTGGAGAATCCCAAGTGGTTTGCACAGAATTCTAATTCTGTCATGGAAAGGTAAAGTTTTATCAACCCTCCCCTGTGAACTCACCTATTGTTTTAGAAAAGGAGTCTTTGAGTTTAAAAATTTTTAATAGTCTAGAGGAGGAAGACGAAATCAAGAATGCTTTAAATAGAAGACTATACAATTGATTTATATTGTCACATTAGCTGAGGACTGCCACATTTTTTCCTTTGAAAAAGTAACTTCCTTTGGCCTCTGAGCATGGGAAGTAGTAGAAAACTATTTTATATACAGGCCTGCTTCTAGAGGAACTGCTGTCATCTGAAGAAATAGAAGGTTTTGGGGCAACTCCCATTATTTGCCTCTTCTCATCTAGCCTCCTAGATTTAGGAAGTAATTTTTACTGGAAAACCTTTTTAAGTAAGTGCACAATTTGGGATTATGCTTCTTTTACTTTTTCCCCAACATGGTACTACCTGGAGCATTACATGCTTCATATGTAATTTTGCCTGCAAAAGTGATTGTAGTCTTATAAGTAGGGGTCTACCCAACTCAAGGAGGGCCAGCCAATTTTGCCGGGAGATCATGGGGCTGGCCACCATTTTCATGGGCTGATAGTGGTGCCCCCCCATGCCTCTGATTGGCTGAGGGACCCCAATGGCCCTGCCCCTCACCGCTGATTGATTGCAAGGGCTACTGTCACACAGCCTCATCCTTCGCCACTGGCAGGTTGCAAGGGCTGTCCGTCAGGTGGCCATACCCGTTGCCATGAACAGAGAGGGGCGGGGCAACACAACAGACAGCCCTCAGCCAATCAGCAGCAAGAGGTGGGGTGGCAGTCATCTTGGGCTCCCCTTCATGCCAGTGGCCCCCTCCTTCCAGTGGGCTGCAGTGCCATGAGGACTGCTGGCTCCCTCTAGGAAGCCAGCATTTTAGTCTCAGTAAGTTGGTTTTATTTGTGAATTTCACAGACATTGCTTGATTTCACAGGCAATGTCGGATTTTGCAATTTCCACAAAATCCACAAAATCCTGATTTTGGTAGGTCTCTACTTATAATACTAGCAATACAATATTTCCTGATACCACATGCCAATGACAATCTCAGGTGTACAGCACCTCATTGGATTGTAGTAACATGGAAGCTCAAGTGTCTGTATTCATATTCTAGTTACAAAGTAAACAATACATTATTTTTATTACAGCATAAATTACTAAATCATCATTAAAGGCACTATAATATTTAGAAAAAGTAGGATGCTAGCATTGTTCTTTGCTTTACAAATCTTCTTGTACCATAAACATACTACACAGGCTATCACTGCTGCCAGAGAAAGTTTACTGTGCAATGAGGAGTTCTTGCAATTCCAGTCTTTCATCATTAAAAAACACCAAAAACAAAAGACAGAGTGGGGAAGGGGAGAGGAAGGAAAGAGAAACTGTTTACAATGTATGCTATAA